ATCTTCAAGAGCCTCTCGCAACGACATGTGTTCGTTGGCCTCGTTTGGGGAACTGGGTGTCGGAGACATCAGTGGCGATGGAGTGTCGTAGCGGAGATTGTAGGCTGAGGTTCCGGACAAGAGTTCATCTGCAGACATGGATACAAATACAAGACCTTCTTGAACGCTGGTGTCAGGTTAGCAATGATCAAAGACGAAGCGGAGACACATACGGAGCCGTAAATCCACGGTCCGGTGCTCGAATGACGATCTTCTCCAAGGCGAAGGGGGCTTCTCCGATGTGTTTCAAGAGAAGATTGCACTGGGAGCTCTCGCTGCAGTATACACTCTTGTCGTTCCTTAAGACATTCTGAACCCTGTATAGCCCAGGTGGATTGTCTCTGCGATGCTCACCGCCGTCACAGCTTATGATCTCCATGCGCAGACGCCCAGGCACTACCTGACCCCTATGGCCGTACTTGAAGCACATGTACTCCGTAGCAGCGCTACTGTCATGTTCCAACTTCCTCCGCTTGTGTCTGCGCTCGCTGTTGAGTTGCACGATGGGGCTACGAGAGCGGGGCTGTGTATTCGAGATAGTAAAGGGATTGCTTGTCGGTAGGTCACTCAGTGAGTCAAGAACATCGTTGGTAGCGTCCATATCGGCCAAGCGCTGTTCTCTCGTGCGGGCCTGAGAGCGGCGGAGGTAGCTTTCGCTCGGTACGGCGCTCGGTCGGTTGGGGTTTGCAGTGGGCGGCCTTCGGGCCAGATTGTCCGCAGCGTCGCTGTCACGTGGGGGACCAAATAGGCGGTGCAGCGGGCCTCTTCTGGTTGACGTGCGAGTGCGCACGCGGCGGGCAGGGTCTCTGGGGGATGACGTCGCATCGTAAGCGGAGGGCGTGGGCTCGGCTAGGGAGTGCAGCGCATTTCTGGACGCGCTGGTAGAGGCAGAGCGAGAGACGGTCGGCGGCGAGGTCGAGGCATGGGGAAAGTCAAAGCTGCCCGTCGTGAAGGCCAGTGGGAAGGGCGCAGGCGGTGGGGACGGAGAGGAGGGTGGTCTGGGCATGGGTGACGTCGGCGCTCGCTCCCATTGAGGAGACGAGGTATGGCGAGTAGTTAGGCTCACACGCAGAGGAGAGACTAGCAGTTTACGGTGGGAGGGTAGGAGACGGCACTTGTCGAGGCTGAGGCGACGAACAAGCAACGCATCTTCTAGTCGGTCCCGTGTGGTTGGCACGCGGGGTGCGCACGGGCCACCGCAGAGCCGCACAGGCAGGCTACGAGGTAATGCCGTCACCGCTAGCTGCCTTTACTCGGCCCTCTGCAAGACGCCCGTCCAGCTTGAATTAGCCCATACGCAGCCAGCGTCTTGCTCCGGTCCACCAACTATCTGACTGCCCTGCGTGATTGCGCAGTCAACATCTCGCATACGCGTCTTTACGTCTATATACATACCCGCGCGACGACAAACACCATGGCTGATCTCACCGAGCCGTCCCCGGTACCTCCGCTGGTGACCAATGGCGCGTTGCCTGCTGCATTGCCTGCCGAGGACGCAGCTGGCGAGACAGTCGCCGCCATCGCGGAGGCCGACAAGATATCCGCAGGTAAGCGCGACGCAATGGCAGTCGCAGCAGTGCTAACTCCCGCGCTCAGATGAAATCGCCCTCTACGACCGCCAAATCCGCCTATGGGGCGTCGCGGCGCAAGAGAAGATCCGCACCGCCAACATTCTGCTCGTCTCCATCAAAGCCCTCGCCAACGAGGTCGCCAAGAACCTCGTCCTCGCCGGCATAGGCTCCATCACCCTCGCAGACCACGAAGTCGTAACCGAAGATGATCTGGGCGCGCAATTCTTGATCAGCGACGCCGATGTAGGCAAGAACCGCGCAGAGGCAGCATTGCCTCAGGTGCAAAAGCTCAACCCGCGCGTCACCGTCAAGACCCTCACCACCGACATCCGCAACGAGCAGGATCCCAACTTCTACGCCGCCTACGACATCATCATATGCACCGACATGGACTTCCTCTCCACCTCCGCCCTCAACGCCGGTGCGCGCATAGCACGGAAACCCTTCTACGCGGGCGCATCACACGGCATGTACGGCTACATCTTCGCCGACCTGGTCGAGCACAACTTCGTTATCGAGCGCGAGAAGAGCAATCGCGACACGCAGGTCGGCGCTGAGAGCACAACGAGGAGCATCAAGAGCGTCCAGGTCAAGAAGGAGAACGGAAAGGTGGTTGAGTTGGTCAACAAGCAGGAGCTCTACAGTCCGTTGATGCTGGTCAAGGACAGCCCACTCCCTGCGGATATTGCAAACAACGCCAGGAGGCTGAAGAGGGTCCATCCCTTACTCACCTGTGTACGCGCATTGTGGGAGTACCAACGCATGGGCCACGGCATCTACCCTTCGCATACACCAACAGATCTTCAGCTCTTCACCACCATTGCGAACCTCAAGCACCAGGAGCTGCTACTTCCTGCAGAGTCTCTCAAAGCCGAAGTCCTCCGCAGCTTCCTTCAGAATCTGGGTAGCGAACTGGCACCCGTCACGGCTTTCCTGGGTGGCCAGCTGGCTCAAGATGTCATCAACGTGCTGGGACAACGTGAACAGCCCATTCAAAACCTCATGCTGTTCGACGGCGAGGACAGCTCGGGACCTGTCTATGCGCTGCATCCTATCTTCCCTGGAACACCGTTACCCATCATGTCGAGCATGCCTGTCAACGCGCCGATTACGATAGTCTGAACTTTGGAAACGGAGATATGAAGCATGGTTTGCCAGACATTGCATTGTGCGGTTGGATAACGGGTCTGCGAGTTGTGGAGGAAAAGTCGTGTGGAAGCATGTGGCGGGCATAGCACTTGATTGAAAGATACCCAAATGAAATCGCTGAGTTGCCAGCGAAAAGCAATACGATCTAATACACTCTCAACACCCACCCATACCCCTCGTTGCCATTGACCCATCTACTGCTTCTTCTTCTCATCCTTAACATCCCCCTTCCCAATGTTCCTAAACAACATCCAGCATAGCCCCACAAACGCGAACAAGACCACACCAACCGTTCCTCCCTCAACCCACCCAGCCATCCTCGTATCAAGCACCGGCACATTGATCCACTCCACCAACCCATCCGATCCAGTCTGATTCCACGCCTTAGGCTCCACATGCATGAACCTAGTCTTGGGTCCAAACAAGCCCTCATATCCCAAATGCAAGCGATCAAACGGATTGGTAGTATGCTGTGCACCCGAATCGGCACGACAAGCCCAAAACACAACAGGCCAAGGGACAGGCAGTCTAGCATGAGACGCCGCCTGAGCAGGCATATACCGCAGATGCAACGGTATGCTGACATTCCAATCCCCCTCCGGCACCTCACCATGCGTCGGCAAGTCCTCCCATACGCTCTCCTCCCCATCACCCAGACTGACCTTGGGATACTCAATCTTCTCCGGTTTAGGTATGGCGAGTTCAAAGAGTGCTGCGGAGCCCCAAGCCGGCACAACCCAGTCTGGGGCTTCGAGATCGGTAGCGCCGGCTAGACTGCGGAGACGCCTCAGGTTCTTGTCTGCGAGGAACAGGGCGTCGGAGAATTGGTATTTGTCGATGAAGAGGTAGGAAGGGAGGGTTAGGTGGGTGTGTAGTTTGCAGGAGCGGTCTGGTGGGGTGAGGTGGGGTGCTGGGAAGGTTAGGGTGAGGGTTGGGTGGAGGCCGGTTGGTTGGTTAAAAGAGGTGCTGTAGGTTAGGGGGTGGAGTTTGGGTGGGGCGGTTGGGTTCTTGGAAGCTTGGAGGAGAGGGTAGTGCCGGGTTGGAGTTTGGAAGCGCGTGGGCTCTGTGAGTCGTTAGTTTCTTACTGTCATGATGATGTGAAGATAGTGTAGTAGGAGTCATACGTACTCGGTTTATCGTCTTGCCCTAGGACTGTCAAGAAACCTCCAAACTGCACATCTTCGGGATCGGCATTTCCCTCCAAACTCAATACCCCAATCTCTACTGTCGCTTCTTTACTTGGCAGCCTGATGGTCTCAGTCCAGCCTTTGTTGCTGGATCCTGCATTGGACGACTCGGCTGTCAGAACAACGCTTCTCGAGATAGTATCGTAGTCCACATCGACATAATCTGACAGAGCAAAGCCATCAATCGCATCCAAACAATAGCTTTTTCCATCTTTTTTGCAAGATTTCTGCTGGAAGAAACTCCTAACTCTGTCGATATCATCCAAGTAGCTGTAGTACTGCGAGGTGGCCGACATTGAGAAGCGTTCTGAGAGGACTGGCATCTTTGTGGAGCTGGATGATGTTGACGAACACTTCAGGTCCGAAGAGATGAGGGAGTGGAGGCTTGAGCATAGTGCATCATCAGGCGTATCTGATAGAGGCGTGAAGAAGATATGCAGACCAGGTGAGACACGTGATGTGAATGGCGGAGTAGATGCGTAAGGCCTGGGAGATGTCCAGCGTAGATGTAGTTCGTGCCATTGCTGAAAGACTTTACTTATCTACGTACCGTTAGGATGAATTCGCTCTTTTGGTGGACATGAGAGTGGGTGCTGTACATACTTCTTCAGGTAGCTCATTCAGCCCGAGTGTGATACGGTGTTCCTTCGCAGCATGGACATTATCCAAAGCAAAGTATGGACCAGATTTGTCTTCGCCGACATCAAGTTGGTCGGGAGTAAAGTCCTCTGGGTTCGTCACCACATAAGTTATTCGCTGTTTCATGATTGTTGTGATGGAGGTTTCGTTCGAGGTCTGTCCACGCGTGATGCTCGCGATGGCATGTGAGTAAAGCGAGCTAGTGCGGAAGCGATACTAGCGTATGTACATCCCTGTAAACGCCTCGGCGGTGCGTCATCGGCATTCACTGGCGCCGCCAGCTTCTAGATTCACAGCCCCAAAGCACAAGGCATCTCCACCGTGTCCTTTCACATGCTTTTGCCACACGGGTGGTACATGAGTTGTCTTAACCATCCCTATTGAGCACACTTCTAATCCACGACCTTGCGACAATATGCATCTCCTCAGCTTCCTCTACCCTGCGCTGCTGGCAGCGAGTGGCGCAGAAGCCCTCCGCTCAGACAAGGTCAAGCTGGCTAAGATTGAAAGCCTCACGCTGCGCAAAGGACAGCAGACCTCCGCGCGACGCGTTGACCCTATCCCCCAGGTACGCATTCATCCTACGCGTCTCCGCCTACCCTTCCGTACAGCCTACTAACATATGATAGCTGAAATGCATCGGCGGTTCCGCACGCGGCCTCTACGAACCCGAGATAATGCGCTGCAAGAACAGCGGCTCTGACTACGACGAAGACTCCATACAATGGACCTGCACCGCCTCGCTCCCCGAAGAATTCAAGCTCGGTTCCACAGACGTCATCTGCGAAGGCTACGATTACCCCGAAGACCCATACATCTTGAAAGGAAGCTGCGGAGTAGAGTACCGTCTTGTCCTCACAGAGAAAGGTCAAGAGAAGTACGGCAAGGGAAGAGGAAGATGGCAGGGCGACGACGACGATGACGACCGACGTGACGGACCGAAAACCATGGGCGAGAGGATTGCAGGCGGGCTATTCTGGATGCTCTTCGGTGGTGTCGTGTTGTGGATGATATACTCTGCGCTCAGAAACCGCGCACAAGGTCCGGATGGCGGCGCAGCAGGAGGCAACAGACCTGGCTGGGGAGGTGGCGGCGGCGGTGGATGGGGAGGAGGCTACAACGACGACAACGACGACCCGCCTCCACCATACTACCCGAACAATCCCAATAACCCCAAGTCAGGCTACGGTGCGACACAACCGGCACAAGGCTGGAGGCCTGGCTTCTGGTCGGGTGCGGCAGGTGGCGCTGCTGCTGGATGGGCTGCGGGCCAGTTTGGCAACAGAGGCAACCGGAACAACCAGACGGGCGGCTGGAGCGCTGGAAACGGAAGTGGCAGTCGCTGGAACAACGGCGGAGAGGGTAGCTCAAGGAGTTCGTCTGGTGATAGTTTCTCCAGCACCAGGCATGAGAGCACTGGGTTTGGAGGAACTTCGCGCAGATGATGTGTTGGTTATTAATTTCTCTATTGGCCTAAGAATGATACCCCCTTTTACGCGTTATGGACATGAATCTATATGACTTGGATACTTCGGGACATTGGTGTACACATATGAATAGGATATGCAGTAGTAAAAATAAACAAACCCAATATCTGATGTATGCCGTGCCGAACACGTCGCAGTTCCGCAATGATCATACCAGCAACTGCACTGGAGATGCCCCATTTGTGCTCCTATGAGCCACTGGGTAACCCAGAAGTCTACATCGCCTTGACATCCTGCAAAACTTTCGGGTTGACACAGATGTAGACAGCAGCGCACCTATTCAGCTTTTTCCCTTGCATGAGGTCCCTCAGCCCCCTTCCCCAGCCCTCCAAGGAATATCATCCTTCCCCACCTTAACGCAAGTCAGCCACCCCACCTTCTGCCCCTCCACATCAAGCAAAGACTCGTTCTTTGCAAGATCCTCCACGTACGCACTCGCTTCCCTCTTCAAGATCGCCAGATCCTCACTCAGACTGGCAACTGCGGAGGGCATGACCTGTTCGAGCATGCGTCGCATATCCTCGTACGGCATGTATCCCTCCCCCTTCCATATCTTCCGATAGATTGTGCCGCGCCGGAGAGAGCCCTTGCAATCGTCGTGTAAGTTGGTGAATTCTTGAGCGAGGATGGACCGGAATGTCGATACGATGAACCACGTGTCGAATTCAGAGTTGACAAGGAGAGACACTGGGTGGCTGCTCGCGCCGCGGCCGACATGGATGGTGAGTAAGAGCAGGTCGCGCTCTATTTCTGCGCACCGTTTGTTTAGCTCGAGGCTCTTGGCTGTGATGAGGCGGACGATTTCTTCTGGGAGAGAGGAGCGTGGCGTCGGCCATGGCCAGCTAGGGTGTGCGCCAGACATGTGTATCAGTGCTTCTGTGTAGATGGACTCGCTGTGCAGAGAGAGCGAGAGGTGAAGCCAGCGTGCGGGATCGTTTTTGATTGCACGCAGAAGCGCATGTCGATGTTGTAGAAGTGTGGCATTGATCTGTGATCTTAGGTTGGGAAGGTTGTCCAAGCAGCCCAGGTCTCCGGCGAGCTTGGTGAGTTGTTCGGAGTGAGTGAGAGAGGCGGCGATATTTGTTGTCGGGATGTTTATGGGGACGTTATAGAATGCGCTGAAGATCTGATTGTAAATGTCAACCGTGGCGGTGTGGTCTGGGGTAATAGAGAAGGGATGGCTTGAGTCGGAATCCTCGTGCTCCGTCTTGATTGCAACGTCGGCAACATGGTGACTTCCGGTATCTGAAATGACTGGCTTTTCTTCGGTGGTTTGCTGTTGTACCAATGCAATCTTACCATCGGCCTCTTCAATAGTGTATGAGGCCCACGCCTGCCCTATTGTGGGCATCATAATGCTTGAAAGTGACTTTGAAAACCATGAGGAGAACCGCGTGAGAATGCTGCTGTGGAGTTGCCATTGTCTTGGCGGAGTGACAAGTTCCGTCTTGATGAAGATATCGCCCGTCGTGAAGATGGGAAAAGATCCTGTCGTATTTTGTAGGGTATTAGGTGCATGCGTCACTGTACCATCATGCGACGGTTCACGGAGTGTCTCTGGGGTTAGAAAGCCCGAGGTGACCATCCCGGCATAGGTGGAGATTTCTAGTGGAGTGCTGATTGAATTGTCTTTTGCATAAGGAACATGGGCCGCATGCGTTGCTGGAAGATGGCCAAGTGAGGGTGGACTTCTAGCATCGCCAGCATGCCGCGAGGAAGACTCAGAAGCGGCAGAAAACAACCCTGACGAATGTGCGGCTGAGTTTGATGGTGAAGTGAGAGGCTTGGAGTCTTCGATGGTCTTTTCTGGTCTTGTATCTTGCGAGCTCGTGGAGTTCGTTACCGAAATTGTCGAAGCACATCGCTTACGCGCCTGCGCGGGTGATTGCGAACGGCTGCGCTTGTCCATTATGATGTCTAGAGAGTGGAAGTGTAGGGCAGTTGAATGAACAATCTTGTGCTGGACGATATGGTCGGTCGATGAGGTAAGAGTTGATACCGGAGATGTATATATAGTTGTAGAAACCGCTCGGCCAAGGTGTCGGACTGGTGGTCATCACGGCAATGAGTCTGCCAGCCGAACGCTATACGCCAGTATACCGCTTACGATTAGCTTTAGTAGTAGTTTGAGAAAGCGGTAGGTGAGCGAGACCGTGTATATTGTGGTGGTCATATGAGGCTGGTCACGATAAGGGTGAGAGACGGCATATACTCCCATGGGTTTATCCAACAGCTTCCAGAAAATATGTTCCTACTTCATGAAGCATACGTATGTGGTGCAATGATATTTCTTGCAGTCAGGTGTGAGGCTGCGAGATTTTATCGCACACCTCATTGTAAGTTGTTCGACGTAAATGTGCACTTTGGTGTCCGCGGCCCATGGACCGATTTGTATCATGATCAACACGTAACGCTTCCTTCATGACTATCGGTAAGAATAGAAGGTGAAACGTATGGCAGTTTATCTGGCGCATATGCATCAAGCTTTGCTGCAGACGCTCATCGTTCTTCGCTCAACGAAGACCCGAGGAGGCTCCTACGGCCTATGCCTACGTTCCAGTAGACAATGAGAATAGGGTCTTCCGCATACTTGAGCAACGATCTTTGCGCTTGCTAGGAAGAATATATCCAGAGATTCGGTGTTGATTGAGGTCCAGACTTCCTCTTGATGTCCTTGGTGTTATTGAAACACCTTGCCGGACTGATAAGCCGGCATCCGAGGGTCCTAAACGCCACGTAGGTACCAATGCAATAAGCTTCGCTTGAATGCGCCAATAAGCTTTTTCTCCAAAGTTTTCATGCCAGATAAGTTGGCGATCTCTTGGGAATGTGAAAACGACTTTTGTTTGAACGTCGGCAGGACAGTCCAATGCAGAGTGAAAAGTACGATGACGTTTGGAAAAGTGGGGCTTACTGGATGCGAAGAACTGGCGTGAATGTGTTCCTTTGGCGAAGAGATCAGTGCAGAATCCTGCGACGTAAGGTAAGCCGTGTTTGCGTATCGCCAGTGTTTCCAGAGTCGTGATAAACGGATTAGTAGCTCTCAAACGAGGGGCTGAATGTGACGTCACGGTATCGCTCATTCTAGAATTACCTGCCGTTGCCGCGGAGGTCACACGAATTTCACAGCAGGAGCAACCTGATTAATCTGTGATCACAGAAGCCTGGTCGTACCCCGGCTGTTAACCCTCTGCTATGCAAAACTCGTACGATTCCTTTTCAACACACCACAAGTGTCCACTGCTAGCCTAGTGGAGGCTAGCTCGGTCCTCTCGGAGTTATGTCCGCGCCCATGGGGTCGCTGCCAACATCGCTGTCGCAACTTGTGCTTGATGATCTACCGACGCCGACCTCAAGAGCGGACGACGATTACGATCCCAACAGCCTTGCATACGACCTGATCAGGTTCACGCCCGCGCCGACTGTGATCCTAGATGCGTTGCTCTATGTGCGCCATGTCTCCGATTCGTTAGTACAGCCTATGAATAGGATCGTCTAATTCCTGCTATTTGCTGACATCTATCAGTTATGTGACTACCTCAAACGCAAGAGATCGCGTTGATCTTGTAGGCCGACATGCCGATCACATTTTCGACGTCTCCTCCACTATTCCTGCTTTTGCTCCAGCCCATGCGCTAGTAAGCGCTGCATGTCGAACTGGCAACCTCCAGCAATCGAGAGCTGTAACAGATACGGGTCTCGCCTGGCACCTGAGAGCAGTCCCAATTCTGCGCCACGGGATATTGCGCTGCATACAGATGGAATTCTTCGACATCACCGAAGAACATCAGCGACAGCTTGAGTTCAGGGAACGCTCTTATCAGAATGAAACATTCCAATTGCTGGTAGCAACCATCAAGGATTATGCGATCTTTATGCTTGACCCGACAGGGCATGTGGCCACGTGGAATGCAGGAGCTCAGGGTTTTAAGGGGTACACTCCAGCCGAGATCATCGGCAAGCACTTCTCGGCCTTTTATTCCCAAGAAGACCGCGAGAATGATAAGCCATCTAGGGAATTACGAGATGCCCTCCGCGACGGAAGATGTGAAGACGAAGGCTGGCGTTTTCGCAAGGATGGATCCAGGTTCTGGGCGAATGTTGTCATCACGCCGGTGTATAGTAAGCATCTTCTCACGCACTACATATGAGACATATACTAACTTCGTTTGCCTTCATTCAGAGGACGACATCCTCCTCGGCTTCTCTAAGATCACTAGAGATTTGACGGAAAGACGGAAAGCCGAGAAGAGTCTTATCGCCGCCTATGAGGAAGCATCGAAACTCAAATCGGAGTTCTTAGCCAACATGAGCCACGAGATCCGCACGCCTATGCACGGCATGCTGTCCGCTTTAACGCTACTACTGGACACCAAGCTGGACAACAACCAACAAGAGCTAGCAAATATCATCAAAGAGTCTGGGGACGTGCTTCTTCAGCTAATTGACGACTTTCTCGATTTTAGCAAGCTCGCTTCGGGTAGCTTTTCTATCAGTAACGATATTATAAGCGTAAAGGATATCATTCAATCTGTCTTTCGGGCACATCAGACGTGCCAGAGACCCGAAGTCAAGCTCGAGATCGAAATGGACAACAAGCTACCTAGTTCCGCTGAAGGAGACTCTCTACGTTATCGACAAGTTGTACAGAATCTCCTATCTAATGCGACAAAGTTCACGGAGCAAGGCTATGTACGAATAGTTGCGCGACTGCAAAAGGAAGACCAAGAATACTTCACGATTCTGACTGAAGTGATAGACTCAGGCATTGGAGTGCCAGCAAGTGGCTCACAGACCCTATTTACGCCTTTCACTCAGATCGACAACTCCACGACAAAGAGATACAAGGGTACAGGATTGGGCTTGAGTATCTGCAAGTCGCTGGCTGAGCGCATGGGTGGAAGCATTGGCTTTCACCCCAATCCAGAAGGTTCAGGTAGTGTTTTCTGGTTTACCGC